GGCCCCCCCCTTCCCTGGCCCTTCCCCCTCCCCGCCTTTGGCTCGCTCCGCCTTTCTGCCCCCCACCCCCACCTCACGGGTTCGGGCCATTCCCGGCCAGGAAACGCCGTGGCGCCGCGTTGGGCCTAACTCGAGTCCTGCTGCCTCTCGGGAGTGCCGTGCGCCGCAGCCCGGGCCCAGGCCTGGGACAAGGTAAGGGTCCGACAGAAAAGAGAGACCTACCCTCACGACCGGGCCCCGGGGGAGGGAAGGGTCACCTCCTCCGTCTCCCCGCACTTGCTCTCGGGACGTGGGCCTGGCCCTCTCCAGGCTTTCAGCAGGAGGATGCTGCCCCTTCCCATCCCCCTCAACACCCCCCACACACCGTTGCACCCCTCTTTCCCTGGCAGAGAGGCCCCCTTCGGAATCCAGTCGACCCCGCTACTCTTTTCGCGTCTTTCCTGGGTCAGGACGCTTCCCCTCCCCCCATGGCTCTTCACCCCTTTTCCTGGGAACTGCCTACTCCACGTTTACCTTTTACTTGAGGTTAGGCCTCTCGCTGCCCTCCTCTCAAAATACACAGGCACACTTTTTTCCCCCTCCCTAAGCCCCCCCCCTTTTCGCGCGGCCTTGTAACAACTCTGATCGCTCTGGGGGCTCGATCCCCCCCCGCCCCCGTAATGTTCCTGGACGCCTTCTCTCTCGTTCTGGGGTCCCCATCGCTGATGATTGCTTCCTTTCCCACACTGAAGGCATTACCTTCGCCACCCCCACCTCACGTTCTCGGGTTCTCAGTGGCGTATGCCCCAGTAGCTCTGAGATGGCCGTACTGAATTTGTAGGGTTCTAGCTTGGAGTTGGGCCAGGTTGTGTCGTTTTCCCTGCCTTGGGCGTGGGGAGCGATCGTTTGAGAACGTCTTTAAAGGCAGAAAAACGTACCCCTTTATGAATTCCCTTTTCCTCTGCGTGGAATCCAGGGATGCGAAGTGAATGGTGGTGAGAAAAAGCCCTGTTTTTTAAGTAGGTGAATCGCGGGAGAGGGAAAGTTTTAACTGTTGGGAAAGCCCCTTCTATGCTAATTTATTCTCTAGAGCTCCTTTGCTTGCCTCGCTTCTTAGGAATAACTGGTCTTTCCCTTGGATACTGATGCTGCAGCCAGCTCTGCTGGTCTGGGTCAGGGGTGCGTGTATGACCTGCATTTTCTGCTTTCTCATGTTACTTGTGCAATGTGTTCACCACTAACTCATTTCTTGCCCAGACCTCTGGGTTCCATTGGGCTTTGTCTATACTTAGTTCATTTTTCCAGTTTTTCCGGTGCTCATAGTACTGAAAGAATCCCCAGGTCCTCTCCTAATTTCTTTTATCATTTGAGTAGACAAGATGCATTTAAATGACATATTGGTGACCAAGGTCATATTTACATTTTTTTGTTGGGCAGATGTTACATAGCTGTACTTTGGTTGGGAAGGATCCAGCTGAGTTGAGTGTTCTGAGCTTTTCAGGAGAATGTGTACCCCTATTTGGGAAAATTCCTTGATGATTAGTTTTTTGTCATTGTTTTTAGGTCACTGAGAAAAATTATAACTGGTAATTCTAGGTGTGTGGAATCTCAGCTAGCACTAAAGCAGAAGATATTCACATTATCAGAGGTTTTTTGGCCTCTTGGAAGGCAGAGGTAATTTTTTTTATTGGATTTCTACCAGTTTTCTCAAAAGGATCACTCGTTTTCTTCTATAGCCAAAAATTCTGGCCTGTTATGTGATTAGAGTGGTTTGGACAGACAGTCATTATGTATAGAAAAATGAATTATGTCCTTTCATAGGACATAACACAAGCCTCTGTCTTTAGCTGCAAATTTAGATTTGACTAAAGAGAGTGTTTGGCAAATTGGCCTTTCAAAGACTGAAGCCTTAATCTTCACTCCTAAATTGCGGGCTTAATTAAAATGGATATTTGGAATTTGGTAAATGTTGATTTTTCTAATAAAAGGCCTTAGTTCAAACTAAAAGGGAGACCTTAGGATTGTTACTTTCTAAAAGCATAATTCCAGTCCTTTTGGCATGGAGCACTGGTCCAAGAAAAAAAAAAAGAGTGTGTAAGGAGTGGGGGTGGGGTAAGGAGAAGGTTGTTCCTTTGGGTTGGATCACAGGGGTGAGTATACAAGGCAGCAGCAGCTGCTGGCTCTGGAGCTCTGGTTGCTACGTGAGAAGCTTGAGTAGTGCTGGCTGCTGTCTCCAGGGAAGGACAGCAGTGCAGCGTCCATTAATGCTGTTGGCTGCAGGGAGCTGCACTTAGGCGATGGCTGCTTCAGGACTGAGAAGAAACCTTGCTTTCCTGGGAATTTTCACTGCTGAGCTGGTTTGCATTTTACTGATGGGGAGATGAGCATTAGCAATTCATAACCTTCTACCCATTTATGGATATCCGCATCTGGAAACTGGATCATAGTTAAAGACTATTCTTTATGGTCTGGTTTTTGTTTTTTTGGCAGATATTTGGTTTTTTATCTGGGGATTTTGCTTGGATAGGACTGAGAGTTCTGTTCGAATTTTGATTTTTCAATCTATTTAAAACTAAAGTAATAAGAATTTAAGAATCTTCCTGAGAACGAGAATGGGGGAAATATCAGTTCATTTTTCTGTAACTGATGTGTTTTCCTTCATCTCTTTTGTCAGTTAATCAGTTTTAATACTTCATTGTTTGTATGTCGTCTTCCAGATGTTAGAATGATTATTAAATATAAACATCAGAAGTATTCTTTTATTTTCTGAATTAGTAATAGACTTCTCCAGATTAGATTATTTCTTTACAATTTGACCTATCATATTGATTTATTATAATATGTGTTGAATATAGTCTTCTAAGATCACAAGAATGTGTGTGTTTGGCCATGGTCCATCTGAAATGTAGGACAGACTAGAAGAAATATTCAGAAATTGAATAAATCTAGTGTCCAGGATACTTGAGAAGATGCCTCTGAGCCCCTTATGTGATCTCCCTTCCCCCACAGCTCTTATACTTTATGAAGATCTCTGATTAAGCAGAATAGTTGGTTGAGTATGGAAGTACTTAGAGGAGAACCACCACCCCAGGATACCATCAGTTACGTACAGTACTTAACAGTTGCCAATGTGTTTTCTTCCCCCCTCCAAGACTCTTGCATCTTACATTATTTTTTTTCCTCAGAATTTTGATATTTTCAGTTTTGTGTACATGTACACAATCATCTATACTGTGTAGTATGACTTTGGCGTTTGTGGCAGGGAACCAAAAAGAATGGGAATCAGTTTTGTCATTCACAAATATGGCTTGCATTGTCTCTCAGTGATAGAGGTGGACTAAAGCAACAGAACCTTTAATGGATAATATTTTAGGTGGTTCTAAGACTTTGGATTCTCATGTGTAGAAGATGCTATGTCAGATAGATAGGGTTTCACTTACACTGGCTTTAACTAAACATAGTTAAGGTATAAATGTCTTTTAGTTTGTTATTTAATATGAAAGTTACCTTATAAAGTAATTGCTTTTAACTCGTATTTCCTGTTTGGAACCTGTTATGAGCCTAATGATTTCCTTTGAATCATAGAGGGCCTTTTCATAGGATTTATTTAACCAGTATGCTTGGAAATTTTAATATCTTTTGATAATGTTTTGTGTACAGGAACATACATACTTTCTGAATTTATTTTGGCTTTTCTGGAGGAGAGTGCCTATTTCATTTTTCGCCTTTGGACAGGAAAATTAGACAATACAAAATGTAGATGTGCAGATAGCCACTTTTATTTTACCCTCTTCATATTCATATAACTTATAAAACATTAGGCCATAGTTAATGACAATGATTATTAGACACATCTTAGTGAGAAATTGGATCGTGAATAGAATTTTCTTATAACTTCTGGTACAACTGTTGATTTGTCAGTTTAATTTGAAACTAGAAGGCCTAGTAGTGAATTTTATTTATAAATTTTTTTTCAGGTATTGAAAACTAAACTTATTGATAGGGATGTTTTGTTTAAGACAGACAAAACTTACTTTGACCCTGTTAAATTGTGAGATAGTACCTGTTTAGTAATACAACTGGTGGTTATTTGTAATTTGATGAAAAACAGCCTTTGAGTGACGCTCCTTAGAAAATAAGTATAATGTACCTGAGATAAACAGGGATTGGTACCATTCCTTACTGCCAAAAATTCCAAAATATGTGGTGAAATGGCATTTTTAACCTTTTCCTTGATGCAGTGATTGATTTCTCTCACGATAAAGATTCAGGGAAGTTCATAAAAGATTGATAGAATATCATTTCTTCATTTCTTTAACTTCTCAATACATGTTTTGTTAAATCAGTTAGAGTCTTATGAAAAGTATCCTGTTGTATATTCATTCTAAATTAAGTAAAAGATACCCAGTTACTTGGCAGGGGGCTAGGGGATGGGTTGGAAAGCATCACTTTATAGAGAATTCTGTTACTCTGACAGAGTATATTCAGGCTTTAAACACTTTGTGGTGGAAATTATGAGAGATAATAAAGGAACGATGAAGCAGAATATCTGTCTATATGAGCCCTCACTGAGCAAGGAATTTGTAATCCCATCCTGCCTCACTTTTTCTATCATATTGATACTTCAGTGAGAGACGCAAGGGTCACATTAAGTATCTGATATGAGGATAGGGAAAAGGAATTTTCTGCTTATTGGAATAATGTCTTAGTATTTTTAAAACACTTAAGATTATTGGCCAGTTTGGCCTGATACATACGACTGTTGATTTGGTCTGACTGCTTTCTCTTTCTCTTCTGTGCCCTTCTATCTTCCTTGAAGCATGAGAATTCTCAGTTTTGATGACGAATTAAAGTAATAGGAATCATTCCTTTAGCTGTGTTAGTCATGTATATACACCTAGAACTGAGGATACTCCTCGGCCAGTGTTATAAATCACAAAAAAAGCAGTGGATGTAGGAATTTATACAAAATTTATTTCTAACTGAGGATTCAAGTTTTTGATGTGCTACCTAATGGAGGGAAAATGCTGAATTCTTGCTGCTCTGCTTGAAAAAAATAGATGGAAGCATGGGAGGAGCCTGAGACCTCTGCAGCAAGATTTGGTCTGAGTAGAAAAGGAAGATTTTTGTTTCAGATTGCCAGCTGCTAATGTCAGACTGACTCCCTTATTACGCCTCTAGTTGGCCTGTCAATATGGCCCAACAGCTAGATA